AAAAAGACCGTCTGAACAATTCGTACTCGACGTTTCAAGGACGGCGACATTGCCCGGGGGTTGACGCTGCGCCAGAGGCGATATTTTGTGTTGATCTTCTCTAGGTAGGGCCCTTCTGCTTCTGTCGCCGTCCTTAGGGAGGCCCCCCACCCTAGGTAGCCGCTGATATCTGTCTGAGACACGCAGGTCGTCTTCGATATTGGCTCACTCTACAACACCAATCAACTGTCAAAGATATCGCCTCCGAAGTCGTTGTGCTCACCTCTTTCGCTGCCCCGCACACACTCCCACAGAGCATTCTTGAACTCCCTGTAGGACGCCACTTCTCCCAAGACGCGATTTATTTCCACGTGTATCCGCTTGGTACTACACCGTCTAGCAGCAGAAACACATTTGCCGTTGTCGTTGTTGTAATTGGACGGGGCGGCACTAACTGATCCCCCTGCCCCGGCTTTGACCACACCGGCTCGAGTGAACAGCCCATCCGCGCTTCGGGGGGGGGGGTATCGTTGCATGGGCAAAGGCAGAGGATCAAATGAAGAATGAGGCGCCGTACAAACGAAATCTACTCGATTGTGGGTGAACGCCGAACTACCGAGATATATCCGCACCACTCGGATAATTTTGCGGTATAACCTTCGCGTTTGCGCAGAGGAAGGATTCGGTTGAGAGCTGCAGTATCGTGGCCACGCGATTGGCCCCCAGTTACTGCGTGACGGTACCCAAAGCTTCAGCCTGTGCTGAGAATGGATTTTGGATAGGGATTTGGTCATCGTCAAAATTCCCTCACATATTTCTTTCAATGTGGATAGATGGAATGATTCATCCGATTCTGTCAGCACGGGCCAGTGATACCGGGCACCATCAACAAAAGGGAATCGGGGGGGCGAGAGGCCAACGACGCCAGTATCGAAATGAACGGAAAGTCACCTGACGCCAGCCATCCTCAATCGAGACGACACCGACACTAAGGCGTTCAGTGCTTCGGCAGTATCTTCCAACGACAGGACGGCGTCGTCCAGCTGCCTGATGACCGCCCCCTGTGTCAATATTGTGCGCGAACATAAAAATATAACGCGTGCCAACCCGGAAGTCTGCAACGTCATCAAACAGCTCCCGCACAGGCCCGATCGATTTTCTGGGTTGAGCAGCATCCAATCGACGAGATAATAGCACGCTAAACGATGTGCTGGCGTCATGCACACCTGCGTCGCCATTCACAAAAGTGATGCTGGTCAGAGCTTTTCATTGTTGGAGCGAGCAGCGCATGGCTCGAGCTCACCTGCCGTCTCAATAGAGCTGCGACCAGAACGGCTGGGTCCTTGGCTCTCAGCAAGGGAGAACACGTCTCCCTCAGCTTTCGTCTCATCTCCGACAGACAGGCCTCATGCTTCTGTGACCACTGCGGGTGATGCGTGCCTGGAGGTTGCCGCTCGTTCCGTCAGCACGTGGGTGATCGGTTTGAGCACAGTTGGAAGAAGAGCGAACGAGTTAGTTTGGTTGCCCCAGCTAACTCAGATAGATCTTCGCCTGTATTCTCACGCCACGTCTTTCGGTGGTTGTCCTCGATGAATGAAAGCACTCTATCGGCACTGAGATGTTCTGGCTCACGCGTGTCCGAACATGCCTGGTGCGTCAAATTCTCAGGCGCAGTTCACACACACACTTATACATTTAGCGCCCAGACCGCCAACAAACATCTAGTGGTGGAGTGCGGCCCGTCGTGCTTGCATCCTCTTGCTTCACGTGATGGAGTTGGTACTCGTCGTGGCAAATCGCCCCCCCACACCAAGGCAACCTCGGCGGGGAAGAGGAAAGTAACAATGGACTTGACATATTAAGCACAATTCAGTGATACGAGACAACTGTGTGATAGATGGACAGATTGCTCATGCGCAGCTTCAAACAATGTTTCCGTCGCGCGCTGTGACAGAATGGCAGGATGGCGGTATCGCAAAGACAGCAGAGAAGACGGTCAGGCGAGAAGCCAACTGTCTTGCGCTTCACGGTTCATTACTCACAAGCAAGACATGTCATACTTTGGCCCGACACTGACTGTCGCGGGGTGCTGGCAGAAAAAGGAACACAGCTATCATTGGCTATTAGATCAACGCCTATGCCACGCTCTCACCACCGTGTTCTCTCCCCTCTGATGAAAATCCCCCGTTGGGAGACAACAAGGATGAAGGCGATGGTTGCGTCGACGACATGGCGTCTCGCACGACTCGCCTGAGCCGCTCCACGTCTTCGTTCGGGCGCTTGGGCTTGTTTGAGCCATCAGTCACCGATGACTGCGATCGTGTTGGAGACCGGGGTAGCCGAGGTGGCGACAACGGGTGGCCGTGGTGCTGCTGCTTCTGTTTTCGCTGTTGCGCGGGGGAGGAAGGACATGAAAGCGGGCGGCGTCGACGCTCATGTAGATTCTCAAAAGTCGTGACGGTCACGTCCAGACTTCGTTCTAACCCTCGTTCTCCGGTATTCCCACCCCCGTCGCCACCAGGCCTCGTTACCCTGCCGTTGCACACGATGGTCTGTGTGATCCTTTCGACGATGGCCTGGACCCCCAGTTCTTTCGCCAGCGCCAGCGGCTCGACGCCCACTACTGAACAAACCACCGGAGGCTCGAACGCTGCCGTGGGTGCGCCAATCATATCGGCGGTGCCTCCTCCTCCTCCTCCTCCTCGCCTTGCAGCACTGGAAGCAGGGTTTCGTTCGGTTCTTAGGCCGCCTGCCTTCCGCAGCCGCCTGATGTCGTCCACAAAGTTCGACGAGCCTTCGACCGTCTAGGCAGATGGCGGGGGGGGCGGAAAAAGTCACGCATGAGCGGCGGAGTAGGTCAGAGGAAAGCGAGGTTTTGTATCTACTCGACGGAGTCTGCGGCTGGGTTAGATTCTCTCATGACAAACGCCTGGCTTGGTGGGATCCATTTGGACCCACCCGCAATCGTGAAAGGCAGAGAGCGAGACCTCCGGCCTTCTGGAAGCACCTATCACGCTGCGGGTACCGGCGACAAGATGAACAAGCCGTGGGCCGTCTGCTGCCCGGGAGTAGGGAACCGCCTTGTTTTCTTCCCGGTGAGCGTCGCCCCATCTTTCCTGTGTTGCTCTCAAGACCCTGGTGTGTACGTGCGCACCACCAGCGAAAAATCTCCCCTATTCATGCATAGCTCCCGCCTGGAAAGCGAGCAGAATGGTGCTCACTCGTGTTGGGCCGTCACACCCATGCCTAAGGTGCCGACGCGTTGCTTGTCCTCTGCGAAGTGTAGCTCATTGGGGTACACGGTACTCTCTCACGTTCGCCGAAACGATACATGGTGGACAGACAGAGCTCTGTTACCCCACGCCCAGCTTCCCCTTAGAAAAACACTCTCCCTGCCTTTTGGCCCACTCGCTCTTGCGCTACAGCCTGTAGCCTACCCTACATGACAGGTTACCTCCCTGAAGGTCGTTGTTCTTGTGCTTTCCGTCTCAAACCCTCTCTGTTCGAGACACAGGTCTAAGTGCTCTCACCTTCGCCAAACGAGCCTGCAAGCACCCGAGAGTCTGTCGCCCTTTCCCCGCACCCACATCCCCCCCGGGCCTACCGCGGCCCCAGCACCCCGCACCATCCGACCGCCTCTCTGACGCTGCTGTTTCGGGCCGCCGCCGCTGTTGCTGCCTCGGCGGCGGCTGCTGCCACCATCGATCCTCAGTGCCCCGTGCAGGTGGCCGTGAGACCGGCGGGGGGTCCCGGCCGTGAATGGGCGCTGAAAGGGGACGCTGCTGCTGCTGCTGCTGCTGCTGCTGCTGCTGCCCCCGCCGCGACTGCCAAAGGAGGTGCCGTCCGTCACCCCCTTTGGCGTCACCCATGCTACCGCCGAGGTATTTGCATTAACACCTTTTCCCGGCAGTGGTCCTGACCAACCCCGATTCAGGACTTCAAGAGCTTCGTCAAGAGCCGCCCCCCCCCTTTAAACGAGATCCAGGTCGAACGGGCGAAACAACTGCTGCTTCTGCTCCTCGTTGGATGTGCCGTCGTCTAGCGACCGGGGGCGGCGTGTTACTTGCTGCTGGCTCACTCACGACAAGTTGTCGCTGCTTCTTGTTGTTTCAGCTGACGCGCGTACTCTTGATTTGCGCGTGGGCTTGTACTTCCCCCGGTCTTCCCCCGGTCAGGCCGTATTTCCACGCCTTACAATTCCTGCCAGTCTTACGAACACGGAGTTAAAGATAAGTTGAAGACCTTCTCCCAAGTCCAATAGCGTCAACACCCCAGCAACGCTGCTTTCGCTATCCTGTGGCACCGCTACCCTACGCCCCGAAGGCGGTGCGTCCCAAAACCTAGCGCAATAAATGTCCGACAGAGGAAGCTTGACAACTGCTGTAGAGGACGTCTACAAGCAGTAACGACACCACAACAAACAGATCCGTGTTGCCTCCTCAATGCGATTTGCAAGTCCTTTTCTGAAACAACAATCAATTTCCAGCAGGGCAAACCCGGGAATCCTTGGTTTTGTGGTGCCGTGGGGGCGGGATTGCTTCGAGAACCTCACGATGCACTGTCCTGAGGCTGGCGAGAGTACACCCACTTATACTTTGTCTCAACAGCCAGACCCTTTGGGCGCGGACACAACCACACGATAACTCCCACGCTTTGGCCCGACCTTTAATACGTTTGCCATTGAAAGAGGAAGGCGTCCACAAGAATCAATGCTGTTGCTGCGGCGGCGGCGCCCGCGGCTGCTGCAGGTGCGGCTGTACCTCCGAGGGCGAAATCCTTATGTCCACTTGTCCCACGCTAACGGTGTCTCCCCTTGCCCCCGCGACAGGGTTTTGACTTGAGAGGATCGGCAGAGGATCGAGCTCAAGCTGACCGCCACAATACGCTGCGACACCAGACGCCCGTTGCTCTCTTTCCTGCGTTGTGCAGGTTTATTGTCAAGCAAACATCGGGGGACTCATAACCGTGCATGCCGTAGTCGTTTGACCAGCGCCCTCGCATCCCTACAAAGCCGAGGCATAGAAACATAGGGGAGATGGGTAAATTCAAGGCGATAGGGGCCGTTCTAGATTCTCGACACGGTGTAACTCAACCGCTGGGTGTTTCTTTTTTACTCTCGCTTCTAGACGTTTCGAACCTGGTGCTTTTTGTTCTCATAACCTGCGGTAAGAACAGAGTGCTTATTAGGGTCTGTCTTCTGCTGATCCTCTATGTAGTTGCCCATTGATTTTCTTACACGAGAACAGCGTCCTCACCTTCCTCTCGAGACTCCATTGTGTTCTACGACGGTAGCGTTAAGTGTAGTATGATATTTTCCATCAATGTACCTTAAGCCCTGCCTCGCTCTCCTTCGGCTTCTTTTGGGACGGCGGGACCTGTTGACGGTGACCTTCCTCCTTCTTCGCCTGCGAGTGGCGCCTGAGGAAGGCGATGGGGGGGCTCTGCACCGCAGAGAGAACGGTGACCTCGAGCTCGACAATGTTGTTGTGGATGACCTAAGTTTTGGATACGCCACGAAAAGGTTGTGCTAAGGATGTTAGCACGGTGGAGAGAGTGAGGTGCATACATATGCTGGCATCATTTTGGGGTTGGTCTCTGCAACATGGCCCAAAAAAGGGAAACCAACATTGTGGGAATTCTACGGCCGAGCCGCACGGGATACTTTGCTTTATTAACGGCAAGGTGAACACCTCTGAGATAGCATCATCAACGGTGATAGGGGGGATCGTCATACAGTGGTGTAAGTTGCAGGCCGCATCCAAACAACTCTAGAGACTTGTGGCGAAAATACCACCACCACCACCGAAAACACGTGCCACAAAGTTGTTGAAACTCGCCCTGTCCTGGGGGTCCTGAAGGGACAGGTCGTAGTCGTACGGAATGTCGCTCTCGCGGCTCTCCAGCTCCTTGGGCAGGCCGGCAACTCGCTCCGGCAGGTTCACCGTGTGGCGGTTCAAGACCTCGAGCTATCCGTTCCAGATATCATTCAGATATGTGCACGTAGCAAAAGTACATGTGCTCAGTCCCAGAAGACAACTGTACAGGTTAAGGTTCACATACTTCATTGGAGGGATTCGTGAACGGGGCGGAGGCCGGGAAGTCTGTCAAGCACGCTCTCCGCGTGGACCCCGGCGTCTCCACTGAACGTCTTTCGGACTGCGTCCGTCGTGTTGTGAAGTATGTGCGCTCAGCGTTCGCACCAAGTGATAATCAGAGTGCCTACAAGGGCGGCGCTGCGATCTCTGTGCGGGATACACGTAGGCACGCAATTGTTGCACAGAGTGATGTCCGAAAAGCTTCATGATTCTACAAGTACATCAGCAGTGTCCGACGTGTAGAGTCTCTCCTGCGGTACACATGCACCGTCATTTATCACGTTGGCCTTCGACGCGATTTCAAAGCGTGTCACCAACAACACGCCCTCTCTACTCACTGTACCGTATGCAGACTGCTGTCAGCAAATAACACCATGTTGGGGTCCGTGTTGGGAGTCTCTCTCTACAGCAGTAGTCTATAGACTAGAGAAGAAGGTGCTGTCCAAACATCAAGATGTCGGATCTGATGTGGGTAGGATAGCCTGGGATATGTGAACACCTGAACGACCCTCATCCGATCTTGTTCCCGAAGTAGAAGCACACAACCTCAACGCCAAAAGGCGGGCGGATTTGGGACGTCCTTCGCTGTGCCTACTTCTGTACATACCTGGGTGTGCAGATGGTTGTGCGGGGCAGCAAGATCCTGATGGTCAAGCGCAAAGCAGTTCATCCCCCTTGCTATATATCTCTGTCGCTGTATCCAATCGGGTGCGTTTTCGAGGCCCAATATGTTGGCTCTCCTTACACAGTCCGTGTGGGCTGTATTCTCATCTATATGCAATCACCTCATCACCCTCCCTGCAGCAGCTCAGCGCGAGGCGGTGGATCCTGGAAAAAAAAACAAAACAGACGTCTCGGAAAAAAATCGTCGAACCGCAACGTTTTGTGTTTTCGTGCAAGTCGAACAGGAACATCGCTCACGCATGTCCGCTACACACAATATCTAATGCACCACGGCGGCCTACGTTCGCAAATGATATGGCTGATACAACCAGCTATGCGGTAGCTCCCAGATGATACTAATGAAACGGGGATGACTTCGTGCGAAGTATTCCGGCAACGATACGCTCGCACTGCTGGGAATACTGCTGTTGTACCCTGTCATGTAGTTCTACTGCTGCTGAAGATACCATTCGGACCGATGTTCTCAGAACGCTCGATTACCCCGCGACGACGACCTCCAAAACCAAAGTACTCTGGATTTGTTTGTGTTTTTCGTAAGAACAACGAGAAGCATGCGCTTTCTCGGAAAGATCTTGATGAGATGCCCTCAACGTCGCCATTGTCGCTGTTTTCGCTGGGTGCGGTGGTATAGAGAGCTCTAGCTTTGGAAATCGGTTCTCTCTCCACAACGTAGTTCACGGAACGGATTACCGACGTTGAGGCGGGCTTCGCTGAGTCTTCAGTCCTCAGTGTGTAAAGCGGTACCAGATTCTATTAGTCCTCCGTTGTTGGACTGCAGTTGCAATGAAAAACGTTAGACATCAACATCGCACGCACTTGCCTTCAATGTCTGTTACGAAGTACATAGTCCAACCCACACTCGCCGTTTCTCTGCCCTTTGCCGACCACAAGGTCAAACAGGTACGAAATGTGTACACTGTGGCCCAGAATACATGGGGCGGAGATGAAAAAAACATGTTACACAGAATGGCATGGTGGGCAAATAGTTCGTACATTAGTCTAGACCCAAAGGCAAATTTAGCTCATCTCCCGAGAAAAACAAAAATAAAAATAGAAAAGTGCTGCTGTATCGTGCGACGCACTTTGCTACAGTGTGCAGCCGGCTGACCGATGAAAAAACTTCCTCCGCAGTCAACGTGAAAAATCCCTCCTCACCAATGGTTGTTACCAATGGTGTACCACGACGGAAACCGATCGGTAAGATCTGGAATACCGTACACAAGGCAACCCAACCCAGGTAACAGGTACGAAAACACACCCCACACTTGTATGGTGTTTTCAAAACACATTCACTATTCTCAGATAAGTAACAGGGCGACACAATCTACCCACACACAGGGAGCAACACACCCGATGACGATTTTTGGAAGCCAAAATGGCATCGCTGGGGTGTTTGTACTCCGTATATCATAGAACCAACCTGAGGGGTTCTCTGCCTGGCAAATTTACCCGCGGGTAAATGATGGGTCATGGCGCCAAGTGCGGCGTTTTTCTTCTAAAAATGTGTTTGTTAATAATAGCAAGAACATCGACTTCACTCAAAGCACGCCAGGAGAAGAAACAAAAGACAACACACATTCACAAACGACAACAGGTAAGCCTGATGGCTAGCGTGGCCGGCGCCAAATAAAGAAACACACAACACACACCACACGTAGATTCGTCAGCGCGCTTCATGCTAGTTAAGAAACACACTCAAACAATAATAACGCGTGCTGCCTCAAAGTGCACACCTTTGTAGACACGAATGAAGAGGGCGAGAGGCGCAGCAGCGGCTCGTTACCGCACCCCTTACTTGCAAAAATACTTCAAACACGCTCCCACCCACCTGTCTCTATCCCGCTCGACCAACACGACGTAGTAAGCCAACCGGGGCACGGATCATACAAACAAGTCCAAATGGGTGGCGGCGTCGCCTCTCTTCCTTAGCCTAAACACAACCACGGCACCTGAGGTCTGAAGCCTCGCATTCACACTCGGTAAAACGAACACCTGCCTCTCTGTCTGCTGCTGCTGCTGCTGCTGCATGCATACCGGACAGTCGGAAAAGCAACACGGCGCGGTCGCCAACACGGAAACAAACCTGTACCAGTCGTCTCTTCTCGCCCTTCTTCCTCCACACCGTGCCACCCCAAAACCGACGACAGTCGCGGCTTGCCGCCACCACCACCGCCGCCGCAGCAGCAGCAGCAGCAACAGCACCAGCACCGCCACCACAAAAAACGACAAGAAAAAACGAGCCGAATTTTCCGCTTCTCGACACCACCTCCGCCGCCCTCCACAGCTACAAAAATCCACGCCACTTCCTCACGGAGACGCACGTGTCAACGATAAAAGCACGGGCGCATACGCCTACGGTCCCAGGGCCGGGGACTTCCTGTCCGACGCACCCCCGGAGACCGGGATGGTACTGCCTGGGCCCCGTGTTATCCGACGCCCCCTCCCC